TGCCATTCTTTTGGACATTAGTTTGGCTTGTGTGCTGTCTAAAAGCATTTATAGGGTGCTTAATGTCTGATAGTGGAACACATTCATAATGTTATGGCTCCTGCTAAGGAAGATTCAGTTGAGAAAGAAAGAACAAATGGTCTCCTTCCTTTTTTTAGTTTTTGTTTTTTTGTTTTTGTTTTTTGTTTGTTTGTTTGAATCTCTCATTGCTGGCTCCTGGAACTACAGTTCAGATAACCCCTCACAGGCTTTTCAGTGATTGATGATCAAACCTGCTCAGTTGTTCAATCTAGCATTTTAGAGTCCTTGATACTTTTTTTTTTTAATTTTTTTTTTTAAGATTTTATTTATTTATTTGAGAGAGAGAGTGAGAGAGAGAAAGAGCACAAGAGAGGGGAGCGGGAGAGGGAGAAGCAGACTCCCTGCTGAGCAAGTAGCCCGATGTGGGACTCGATCCCGGGACTCCAGGATCATGACCTGAGCCGAAGGCAGTCGCTTAACCAACTGAGCCACCCAGGCGCCCCTTGATACTTTTTAATAAACTCATTAGAATCAAGTCTTTGCTAACGAATATAATAAGTGAAGTAAAGCAATAATTTAGATTAGGGAACACAAGGTTTTATCTGTGTTGCCAACTCCAGTCAACTGATGGGTAGTTTCTGTCTGAAGGATTTTAATGCTACTTCCAGGCTCTGTGGGAAAGACTACCAAGGTAATCAGTAATATGTAGAATAGTTCAAGATGTGTTGGAGTCAGATGATGTAAGGAAGTGAGGGGAGAGAATTCCTGGCAGAAGACAAAAAAAGCACAGAAGAACATGGTGTATGTGGAGGGCAGCGGCAGAGAAAGAACAGTAAAAATGCAAGAAATTCAAGGTTCCTGGAGCCAAAAGTTTCAAACTATGAAGCTGTGAGAGATGAGAATAGGAAGCAGGCAGAGTGGTCTATGCTCAGTTTAAGAGCCTGGACTTTATCTGGTTGATCAGTCAGAAGGTTTTAAGCAGGGAAGCGATGGGCTTGCTTAGCTTAGAGTTTTGAATGATTGTTTTAGTGATGGCTTTGGGGGACAAAGTTCAGCAAAGATAGGGTGAATTTTTAGGGTATTTTTGCAGAATTCCAAGACATAGATAATTTGGGCCTGAGCAAGGATTGCTAATAGGAATGGAAAAAAGTAAGAAACATTTAGCAGGAAAATTTACACATGGCTAGAGAAGGAGAAAGAAGGAAGGAGCAAAGCTTGGGAGACTGGATGGATAGTGAACGGTATAGGTAATATACTAAAAAATATATTTATAACTAAATGCTAGATGTTTAGGCTAGACTCTAGGACATAATACTATAGAACATCTGAACTACCTCTTTATTATTCTCTCTTTGTTGAGGAAGATGTTCACATAAATCGTTTTTTTAAATGCATGTCTCCTATTTCTGAGGGATACTAGAAAGCAAACTATGTAGGGTATGAGAACAAGGAATGTATTATATTTTGGGTGACCTCTACATCTATCTATTATCTATCATCTATCTACCTGTCATCTATCTATCTATCATCTATCTATGTATCATCTATCATCTGTCTAATCTATTACAATAAGAAATAATATAGTCCATTATAAATAATATATATAATATAAATATATAAATATAAATAATAAATATAGCACATGAGAATAAGTGTCTCATAAGCATGGTGGCATTACTTATTGTCAAACCCAGAATACTTTTAAGAGTGAGAGCCATAGGGGCACCTGGATGGATCAGTGAGTTGAGCATTGGACTCTCGATTTTGGCTCAGGTCATGATCTCAGGGTTCTGGGATCGAGCCCCGCATCAGGCTCCACACTCAGTGGGGAGTCTGCTTGAGGATTCTCTCTCCCTCTACCTCTGCCCCTCCCCCCACTCTCTTTCTCCCTAAAATAAATAAATCTTTGTTTTTTAAAGAGTGAGAGTTATAGGGACGGAGTAAAGAATTAAAATTATTATAATTTTAAAAAAATATTTATTTATTGAACAGGTTTTTATTATATTGGTCAATTTATAAAATAGTTATTAAAAAACTATTTGCAAAAATGATATTCTAATAATAATGATATTTGGTTAAAAATTAAAGGACAAGAATAGGACAAGAATAAAACCAGATGGGGCACCAGTACAACAAGCAAAAAGTGTAACTGTCCCTGGCAAACAGGAAGTGTGGTTACTCAACTTATGAAGACAGAAATGGATTTTATGTGCTAATTCCTGGTGAAATAGTTTCATTATCTCCTTCTGTTGCTCATTCCTTTCTGCTAGGGATCCGGCAGAGAATGTACAGAGGGTTTATGTCCACACATGGACTCACAGTCCAGAGGTTGTTAGTAAACCCATGGTTTCCATGTCTCAGGTGCTATTCTAATACTGTGCTCTCCATCATTGCCCTAAAAAGAGGGACTGGCTGGCTCTGTGGTAGAACATTCTGCTGGTTGGGAAAATAACAGTATTGGAATATACCTTGGGGATGTGCTAGATACATTCTGCCATCTGGGCAGATCCAAAATGTTGGGGTTCATCTTAGGGGAAGAAGAGCTCATCAAGCCCCAAGGGGAAAATTACTGCAACCTTCTGAGTTTCAAAGTGTTGGATTTGGGATCCTCAGAAATAATGACTTTTTTTGTTTAAAATATATGGCTAGGTTGGGGGTGCCTGGGTGGCTCAGTTGCTTAAGTGTTCGACTCTTGGTCATGGTCCCAGGGTCGTGAGTTTGAGCACTGGATCAGGTTCTCAGCTGGGCATGGAACCTGCTTAAGATTCTCTGTTTCCCCCTCTTTCTGTCCTTCCCCTCCCTGCTCACATGCTCTGTCTGTCTTAAAATGTATATATCTAGGTTGATAGAGGGCCTCTGGCCCTTTGGGGCAAGCTGGAATCTATTTCTCATTAGTCCACAGCTTTTCTTATCAGCCTTTTGCCCTAGTAATTATTATTTTTTTTATCATTCAAAAATAATTACTGCAAAGAAAGGAAAAAAAAAAACTTCTTATGCCCTTTTAGTATTTGGTATCTTCCTGTTTCTTAGTATGAGTAGTTAGAAGAACAAACACTTTAGAGTCAGAAAAATGTGCCTTAAACTTTAAGCATATTAATATCTCCTGAGTGTCAAATTACTTTAATCAGCTTATCTGGTTGGGAATAATATTGTGGAGTTTGTGATAACTTTGTGGTCAGAAGTAAGTGAGATGATCCAAGTAAAGTGCCGAGCACAGTGTTGGACAAATAGTAGGTGGCCAAAAAGTGGCAGCTAGAGTTATTACAGAAAGTATAAAAGGTTTCATGTTGGTGAGGCCAGAAAATTGTCACATAAGCTCCTTTATCCTCCATTTCAGCTTCCTTTCCACTTCTTCCCCTCCCCATCCCCACCAGCTCCTATTACCAGTACTTGGGGCTCTCATGGTGCTGTTTGACTGCCCTTTTTCCTAGTCTAGCATCTTTTGTTCCTGATTTATCTCCCTCACTTCCTTTCTGCCAGACCTTCTAGTCTTATGACTTATGCTTTTGTTGCCTGCCATATCTAACCTTGTAGAGGTTCTGTTAAAGTCATTTATACCAAAATGTTAAAGACAAACATCATTTTCATAGGCTAGTCTTGCCAGCACATAGATCTATTTTAGTAAAGGTCAACATCATAACCTTAGAGAATAAAATTGCAGAACTTAAGTTGGAGACATCAGCAATAGGGACAGAGGAGATATTTTCATTTTCAATGAAAGCAATAAAACTAATGAAAAGCTACTGTTTAATGGGTGTCTATTTTACACTGAGTTTTATATGCATTTTCTCACTGAACCCTCACAATTAATAAATTATGTGCTATCATTATTGCTATTTTTCTGATGAGGAAAATACAGCTTGGAGAGGTAAAGCAAATTGCTGAAAGTTATATACACCTAGTAAGTGGAGAAGACAGGTTTGGAACTCAAGTCCATCAAACTTATCACCATCTCTCTCACTCAATCATTTACATGGTAAGTTTTCATCAGGGCAGGTATCTTTGTGCTCTTTCTAATTTTATTTGCTAGAGCCTAGTGAAGTGCCGGACACACAGTATGCAGTTAATTGTTGGTGCATGAATTAATGAATACATATCTATTCTACCATAACCTCCTTTCCATTTTACCTCACTGAAATCACCTTTTGCTTGGATGCCTGCCTTGTTGAATATTCCAAAATTCTGAAGTGCCAGTAGTCCATATACACCGTTCTGTTCCCTGACTTCATGTCTCTATCTACCTGTCCTATCTACCTGCAATTCCTCATTTTCCCAGAAGTCTCTGAGCTATCTTCCACTTACCCTGTAACACAGAGCTCAGGCTTTCCCTTTCTCTGACCTCTCCTCCTTCCTTTCCCTCACCGTCTCCTGTCCTCTTCCCACCATGGCCCAACCCGACAGGGTTCCTTTCATGCCTATGTCTTCCACTAGACCATGGTGTATTTGAAAGTGAATGTCTGACATCTTTTTTGTCTTTTTTTTTTTGTACCTAACATATTTTTCTTCTGACATATTTTTATATGCTTCTGGCCTAGCCTAGTTTATCAATTCTCAGGTGCTTTTTCTTTTTTTTTTTTTTTTCATATTTTAACATCTCTGAATTTGGGATACCTCTTTCAGTTGATGGAATCTTAAAATTATAATTGACAGTGTTTTTTCTGATCTAGTGATACAAAAAGAAGAGTTGACCGAGTCCTAGAATTAATGGCATCTTAGATTTAACATAATATGGTAATAATATATAAGGGTTATATGAATGAAGGAAGGAATAACAATCATAGCCCTCCTCAAGTCATATTATTATTCCTACTTACAACCTACCTGTTCTGCATCATAGACAATGTGGCAGGGCAACAGTTGAGCATTATTCTTTATGTTGGGTTTTCCTAGTACAAGTAAGACATAATATACTACCTCAAATTATTCTTAATCATTTCTTTCTGGACTTACATTATATATTCCATATGCTTGTCTTCTAGGTGAAATTGATCTTCAAATTCTTTCCAAAGTGCAGATTCAATATCCAGAAATTCATATCAACAATGAAGTTGTTGAGCCAAGTGCTGAGCAAATTGCCAAGTACAAAGGTACCTGTAACCCATGGTGCTCTATGTCAAACCCTATCCTGAAAGGCTTATCATCCCAAATTTGTCTCCTCAGTCATTAACAACATAGTTACTAGGGTATGTTCTTTGTTAAGCTTATTGGGAAAAGAACATATTTAATTTGTTTTCTTGGCAGACATGACTAACACCTCAGAAATATGAACAGTGAATAATTAGATTTCTTTTTTTACTGACTCCTCTATTCCCTGGTCATCAACTATTATTTTTGATGTTTATTCTTAGAGACAGAGTCATTAATTCATTCAGAAATATTTAAACAGAATCCTTGCTCTTAAAGGGTTTGTGTTTAATGGATTATAGCAGGAGTCAGCAAACTTCTCTGAAAAAACGCACACTGTAAATATTTTTTAGGCCACACAATCTCTCTCACAACCAATCAACTCTCCTATGGTAGCACCAAGGCAGCCAAAGATGCTGCTGATAAACTGAGTGTTCGTATGTTCCAATAAAACTTTATAAACTCAAAAGTTTGACTTTTATATCATTTTCACATATCATCAAATGTTATTCTTTTGATTTTTTTCAACCATTTAAAAGTCTAACAGTATGAGATATGAAAGGCATAAAGTCAGGAAGTGAAATAGTATGTTTTTAGCTTTAAGTCTATTTAGAAATAGGTGGTGAGCCAGATATGGTCCATGGGCCATGGTCTGCTAACTCCTGGGTTACAGAATCATATCATTTGCTTTCCACTGATAAAATTCACCAGTTGATTCCCCATTAATACTGAGATAATGTAACCAATGTCTGATCAGGGTTCTCATAATTATTTCTTATTGACTCTTTCTTTCATCTTTAATTTCATTTAATACTAGGAAAAAAAAATCAGGATGAACTCTCTGGTCTTCCAGAGCTACATAAAAAAGAAAAATGTGCTTTATATCTGTTATGTATATAACATTGATTGCATTAAAATTCGAAATGGAAATGGATTATGCATTTGCAATTAAAATTGATGGTGTGCCATCTCTTTTCTATATTTTAGAGCTTGTAGCCAAGACATCAAACCTCGAGAACATAAAGTTTGCTTGGCATAAGGAGACATCATCTGAATATCAAAATAGAATCATAGAGAAAAAAGAATTTCAGAAGTGGGACTTTATTCATATGATTCAGGTAAGAAATATTTATTGTTATATATTCTCAGAAAGATTTTTTTCAGAAATATTTATGAAGAATGCCTAATATTCTACCTTTAGGAAAAAAATGGAAATCTGGTTTCTGATTTTACAAGTGAACATTATCTGTCCGAATTGAGGATAAAGGTGTTGATAGTACTGAGAGATTCTCTGTAACATTCAAAAAGCCAATTTTTTTTATACTCAAACACCTTCAGTTACTGATTTTTTTTCAATGTTGGCTTAATTAATTTTTGTAGGATTGGAAGTTCATAGATAGTTTTGAGGGCAGTAGAGTGTTACATATCCTAGCACAGCTCTAATGGTCTGGATGGACCGATGTCCCAGAGTTTTTCTGAATCCTTTCTTTCCCTTCTGTTGATGACCTGGCTAGTGTGCATGTGACAGAAGGGGCAGGTTAGATCATTCTTAGGTCAATAAAGTTTACTTACATCAGTCAGTCATTCAGTAGGAATTTATTTCCATGATCCAGCACTGATAGTGTATTTCTTAGAAATACACTGGAGGGTTTCTTGGAAAGGGGGTGAGCATTCATTAGATGTTATGGGGACATATGAGTGTATAGACTTAGGGTGTTGTCTACTATCAGAAAACGTGTATATTTTAGAAATACCAATATTAACAGTAAGAGACATCTTTCCACAGTCCACAAGTGCAGTCATCCCAAAGGAATAAACTTATAAGAAATCAAAGGAAGAAATGACTCCAACATTAGTCATCCAAGCAATCCTACACCTCTGCTTTCCTAGCTGACAAAATCATTTACCTGTAAGAGAGTACTTAAATTGTCCATCAAACCTATAATGTTTCTCTATTAGATTTAATTTCCTCCCTCCTCATATTAACTATTTCATACCTCCTTCTCTCTCCTTACATTTCCTGTAACCCTTGCACCACCACTCATTCCCAGCTGATGACCTCACTTCATACTGTATAGCAAAAAGAGAAATCATCAGATGGAAAGTCATTTTTCACCCTCCGAATTTATAAACACAGCTGCATCTGTACCCAACATCTCTTTCTTCCATCTAATTACAAAAGCCACCTTTTATCAAAAACCTGTCCCTCCACTTGTACTCTGGATCCCATTTTTTACCTGTTATAAAACGTTGCAGCTTCAGAGATCATTCTCCTATTTCTCTCAAAATTTCCATGCATCTTCCTTCTTTCTAAAGCAACTCTGCTTCCTCTGCATTACTATTCTATTCCTCTATCTTCCTCCCTGTCTAGTATACATTTTCCCTATGTTATATCTTTGTCTCTTCATTGTTCCTTATAGTCTTAACACTCTCATGACATTCTTTCAACTTAATGTTCACAGTCAACTTCAGAGAATCTCAGTATCTATTAGATCAAATTTCAGAGCATCTGTTCTGGCCCACCTCCTCTTTTTTAGCCAGGTCACGTCATAGACTGTTAGCCATCTTATGGATTATGTATCTGGGTACCTATCCCTGTCATGAACAGCATGGAATGACATGATACTAAATATGGTCCTGAAGCAGCATAGGCCATGTGCAGCTCCATTTTATTTCATTCATTCATGTGAAAGGGGCGTAGTTTAAGTTGTGTTTGCTTAATGCAAAAAATTCTATCATGGGCATCTAAATAGAATATTAAATTATTGCCCAAGAGAGATGGAGATGAGATTTAAGATGTAAGTATCTGTGGGGGTAGATTCCAGGGATGCAAGCCATTAGGGAAAATTTTCCACTGCCAATGTATAATTCTAGGCTCTACCTGTGTTGAGTGGAAAGGCCTCTCCCTGAACTTCATCAGAGATGGTCCAGAGTTATTAAAAAGAGGTGGGTTGACCCCTAGCACCTTGTGACCAAGTATGTAATCTCATGCTTTATTCAGTCCATTTTCCTAGAGAATCTGTCAACATCAGAGCCTGCCATATTTTCTGTGATTTAAAAAAAGCATCTGTGAGCATATGGTAAAGCTGGTACAAGGGGCTTAATTTTAAAGCAACGTTCCATGAAATGGGGTCTGTTTTTATGGTGCCAGCACCATCTTCTCCCAGAAGAACTATAATTCACAAAATGTAGAGTAAGCATAGAATCGATGCCCCAATGTGGAGTGGAGACTAAGTATCTCCAGCTATAAATGTCTCTGTTATTGAAGTCAGAAAGAGTACATTTAAAACTATTTGGCTGTAATTGAGCAAATACCGTAGTTTTCCCTTTTCTCAAATATTTTATCACATTATTACTTTCTTTCTCCATATAACATCTTTAATTTTTAAATTCTTAAAGTGTTTTGTTGAGTACAACTCTCAACTTGAAAATCAAACTTTCTGATGAGTATCTAGCCCAAGTAACAAAGACATTGACATAGAAAAGTGTCTAATTTCTCTTTTTTTTCATTTCTAGATGCTGTATTATGTAAAAGATATCCCAGCTACCCTGAAATTCTTCCATAGTCTCTTAGCTACCAACGCTAAGATGCTCATTATTCTTGTGTCAGGTAAATTATTTACATTCACCCTGAATTTTAAAACAGTAATAGTGCATATGTGCTGGATATATGTGTTTGAAGGCAGCCTGCTATATTTAGTCTTCATTATGAAATTCTTGACTTGGCTTCTGATCATAGTCAGTTAATTAACACAGTATTAGGAAAGTCCTTCATAACAGCTATCAATTTAGGGGGTCTAGGGGCGCCTGGGTGGCTCAGTTGGTTAAGCGACTGCCTTCGGCTCAGGTCATGATCCTGGAGTCCCTGGATCAGGTCCCGCATCGGGCTCCCTGCTCAGTGGGGAGTCTGCTTCTCCCTCTGACCCTCTCCCCTCTCATGTGCTCTCTGTCTCTCTCATTCTCTCTGTCTCAAATAAATAAATAAAATCTTTTAAAAAAAAATTTAGGGGGTCTAGTGGAATTAAATGTCTATTTACTTCTTTCTCTGGGGAAAATTTGTCTTTGCTGTCTATATATAAATTCTTTTTTATATGACATAGAGCAAATACCACTAATAGGAATTTTTTTAATGAGGCCAAAAACAGCAAATATTTCTGTTTACCTCCTTTTTGCTTCTTGAATGTCTCTTCCCCTTCTGTGATGTTTATTAAATATAAATAAAGGTTTAAATATTTGGAATGCCTTCATATTTGATTAATTTGCATTTCTAGAGCCATTACCAATATTGTTCATGGTAGATTTTCTCAAATAACTACCAGAAATTGTTCACTTGTTTTGTATTTCTGTCTTATTTTCCAAAAAGGGCATTTGATCATGTCATGTTGCTTCCAGTATATAATAAGTACCACATAGAGAAGTAAACATGTTAATAAATGAAACACTGACATTGTTGAGTTCATTAATTCATTACTTCTTTCATTCAGCAATCTTCGTGGATTGTCTACATAGTGCTAGGCAGATTGATTCTAGATATACAACAGTCTCTATCTTCCTAAGTGTATACCAGACCCCTTACTCAAAACCATATGTCACAAAATTCATCAATTCTTAAATATGAGAAATGACTTTAAGGATGGCAAATAGGTTTGTTGCCTGTAATTCTAGGTTTGAACTCATGTGGGAGTTTTTGCAAATGAGAGTTCCTGTATACAACCTCTTCCCTAAAGGAACATTCTGATATACTATTTTTATCTCTGGTTAATTAAAAATACTCATTTATGTGGGAGAGTTCTCTTTTCCCATTTAGAAGGGCTTATGTAAACTGGATGCTTCCTACTAACCTCTGTCTAAATTAAGACACTTGGGTAAAGCCATTATACTACATTTAGGAATACAAAAGAAAACTTAGTTGTTACCAATGAGAGCAGTCTATTCTTGATAATCTGTATCAATAATAAAGAAAAAGTGTTACCGATAGAAATAACAATTTATCCAGAAGTCATGTATGTTTGATTTTAGGATATATTTCATATCAATAGAAGATCCACTCTTTCTTATATTTGGTTTATTCTTAAATATTTTCAGAAGTTAAGTATTTCAGTGTCAGAAAGCAGTTTTCTATGAATATATTTCTACCAAGAGGAAAAAGCCAGTCTAAAGTTTGACATGAGTAGTCTGCAAACAACTGAGAACTGACTAAGTACCCTTATGAATACAGTATTCTGCTGGCTATCTCATGAATTATATTAATACAATCCATGGTTTATTAGTATCAAGAAATGTTCAAACCAAAACAGGCACAGTGAAATATATGGTGATACATGCAGCAAGAATGCTGAGGCATTTCCTAGCTGTGTGAACTTGGTCTATGAGTCTTAGTTTATTCAAGGGCTATTTCTAGATAATCATACCTACATTACACTGCATCTACGCATATATGTGGTTCATATGTACTATGTATGTATGTACTATGTATTATACTATGTATATATACATTCACAGGGAAAAAATCAAAGAAAGGGAGTAAAGACTCAAATATCAATTAGCTTTTTCTTAAAAAGTATTTTGAGTCAAAAGATACTCAGTCAATGTCGTTTGATGGTGGAAATATTTTGCTAACTTTTTCTGTATACAGTAAAAAACTCCTCATTACTGTACTCATCATGGGAGACAGGTATCCCAAAGAGGACAACATTGTTCATAGACATTGTTCCTACACGTAAGAATGCAACAAATAACAAATGTCCAATTATTAAAGGGACTCTAATGACCCCCCGCCTTTTCACATGCACTTTTCTGAGAAGAGATTTGTACAGCTACAAGAGAAATATCATACATACATTTCTTCTTAAAGAACCACTTAACAAAAGAAGATAAATTTAGGCATTTTATTTTGGACTTTCCAATTATCTCCTAAGGCTAAAAGTTATAGCTTTATTGCCTCTATCAGAAGAGTTATTAAGGAAAGAAATTAATTAAATATATGTAATAAAAAATAAGCCACCTTGTTCAATATAGTTTCCTTTTCAGTAAAGAAAATATTCTACTTGAAAAGGTAAATAAAATTGTCAAATATGTTGATCTTGTCATCAGTTTAGTATAAACTGAATGTCTCCAGATTCCCCAGTCTTAGGGGATCACTTATAACTCTTACAAATCCAGAAAAAAATGATGGGATCCCTTATCCCAAGTAACTTGGGTCATCCATCCCTTTCCCCATGACTCCTAAGGATCTTGGGGGTCATGCTTACATGCTCCTGATGGTTGCCAACCACTGTTTGCCCCAAACTTCTGCTGCCAGTTCAATTTTTGATTTCCTATCTCCAAACCTTGCATGTCTTTCACCTGCCTTTTCTTATCCTGTTCTGCTTTGCTCCAAACACAGACAGAGCCCTACTTCCTTCATTCTCGAAAGCACCATTCTTTGATTTTTGGGAGATGGCAAGACTGATGGCACAGAAGGACAGCAGGAACAGAATTTAGTGCAAAGTCCCACAGCCACTCTTTTCCTAGCTTTTCTCCTGCTCAGTGGTGCCCTTCTCTCTTGCACCCACTTGTAACTTCTCCCAGACCTCACCCATATCCTCTTACCTCACTACTTTTCCTAAGATACCAACTCCTCACTTTTCCCTTCCATCCCTCTTATTTGTTCCTTGGAGCAGTTTAACTCCCTTTTGATCTACCTCTCTCACCTGGGTAAATCTGTGCACCTATGAACCTGTCTTAGCCACAGTATATTTCCCCAGGATAAACTGTATTGCCCCTTAGTGTATGGAAGTGGCTGCAGTTTCCTTTTTTAAAAATAGCAATATTTTCTTTGTTGCATTAACAAAGTCAATACAAATATATGGGTCAGCTTTTAGAAAGATAGATCATGGCCAGTTTCCAACAGAAAAAACAAATTGAATCACAAGAAATTTGCAATCAGATTTGTCTTATATCCAATTAACATGTATAGGATTGATCTACATTTTTATTGTTCATTTTTTCATTTGCTGATACCACTTCAAATCCCTGTCTGCCCAGACCAGTCTTGTAGATGGCAACCAAGTTTGAGAATGCTTCCCGGGTCATATGAGGTGCCTGAGTAACTTCCTCCTTCACCCCGTAAGAAAACCATTGCCCTAAACTGCCTTCTCAGCTCAAACTATAATCCTTGAAACCCCCTTCTCCATATTTACCCCATGAAAACATTCCTTAAACTTGAATATTGCCCTATAACTTGGAACACATATACCAAAATGGTTCACACTAAGTTCTGTTCTTATCAAGCCTCTTGCAGTCACTTTCTGGGTGGAATTTGCTTCATAATTACCTAGAAGTGCAGAAACCTGTTTGGGAAGAAAGCTTTGTTTCAGGCAGCATTGTCATCCATAGCTACACTTCAATGCAGAAAACTGGGTGCTCACTGCAGACGATTCAGACAAACCTAGAACTAGTTACTAAATTAAATTTCCAGGAACGCTCATATAGCTAATATCTAGGCAGATAATAGTATGTCTGGATTACCATCTTGCTTTAAAGGGTCATCTTAAATATGCCACATAGCTAAGGCTCTTTCCTGTCCATCTCAGACACTGACCTATTACTGAATTGACAAGTTATTTCTCTGAATAGACTGAATTACTGTTATTTGAGTACCATATGGACACTCATTTTTGCAATTTATTAATCATAAGATAATGAAATATGGGGTCAGTTTCCAGAATTATGGAGAAATCTAGGTTGGCTCTATGTTCCATGTGTACCATGTGTACCTAGGTACCATGTGTGTTCAGCCATATTGAAACAGCCTGTACTCTCAGTCCCATGTTGTTTGCACAGGATAGCTGTTTTGTAGGTTTGGTTCATTCAGCTTTTCTTGAGCTTCTACAGTCAGTCACTGCTAGGCTCTGTAGGATGCAGATGACTATTACTTTTCCTCTGCTTTTGGACAGCTCCTATGTAGTGGAGGAGGCGTGTAAACACTTGGAGCAGTGTGCTATGTTTCTTATCAGAGGCATACGAGGAGTTTAAAGAGAGCTCCTTGAGAGCAGCCATTCTGCTTCTCATCTCTTTGGCACCTAGAACACACCCAATAGATATTTGAATTGAACTGAATAAATATTTTATAATCACTTATTATTTCTGCCTTATAATATTCTAAACTACTAGTTCTGAATGTGTCTAAAAAAAGAGCATGTTTTGGCTAAAACTACATGATGGACTTGGAATCAGAGAACATAGAGAGTTCTGGAGATTTGAAGATAGGTTTAATAAACAGGAGTAAAAGACTCAATAAAGAAGATACACATGCACACAGACACGCACACACACTAAAGTGCATGCTGGAATAGGCAGAGAAAAGCGATGGAGAGTAGGCAAATGAAACTCGTTAGGAAAAGACAGAGAAATTGAAATCAGAGTTAAATGACAGCATTTACTGTTAGAATACATGTTGCTTGAGGGAACAGAGGCTTTTATCTGTATTTGTAAGTATCAGTTACAGAACTAGCCCAGCTCAGTAAATAGTCATTTAATTATAACAAGCAGAAGTTCCTGATTATATAAAGATAAAAGATTTGATCTGGGGATGAAAAGGAAGAGAAATAAGGACAAATGAGGTGGATTTTTAAAATGAGTGTCTCACACTAAAATGATATCAGTAGTAGCATGTTTTTCTGCAAATGTAGTAGCCAGGCATTAGTTTTGAGAGTTGCTAGTTAAAATGCAACTTCTCTGGTTAAGGGGGTTTATCCAGAAGGAGACACTAGTTTTGTGTTCTCCCCTCTCCTTACCTGACTAAGGAAGGAGGCAAATCATGGGGTGTTATTTTTAATACAATGAGAAAAAAGAACCTGGTTTATATCATGTTGGAAACAAAAGTAACACCATATGTTGTGCCCACCGAGAGCCATTATGATAATGCATCAGTTAGAAAGTGTATAATTGCTCAGCTCAGAAATGGCACCAAGTCACACAACACTGACATCAGTAAATTTTCTGCAATCAGTGTTTGGTTATTTTTTTTCTCTATCAGCTTAAAAATAAAAATAATAATGATAGTAGAGCTTCTTTTCAACTCATTGAAATATTTATTTTCTTGTAAAGTCTTATTTGTAGGCGTATTCTTATTTGGGCAGATAATCACTGTCTTTGTAATGAAAGATTTTTTAATACATACTCATGACCCTATTTTTTTTCATTGGACTGAGGCTTTGTTTTTTCTGCTTCATTCCAATTTTACCTTCTAGAGCATACCCTGCAGTTATCGCTCCCTCTGAAATATTAGTAGAATGTCAATTATCTAAGCTATTTAAATTTTACTCTTTTCTGCCTTGGATAGTCCGTTTTGTTGAGTTCAATCAGGAGACTTTAGCCTAATCCATGGATGAGGGCCAGGAGTCTCTGAGCATCCAAGAATCATATGCATAACTGTATAGGTATTTATTGTTTGTGTACTTTGCTGGAGAGTCAGTTACTTCATTAGACCATAAAAGAGGCTTGGGAACCAAAAAAATCTCAAGCCTTTGAAATCTTCACTATTAATCCTGGAATATAGGTTCTCTCTTACATTGCTTTGCCAAGTCCAACTTAATTTTCCAGTACTTGAACAATGTTTATTTACTACGTGTGCCAGTCATGGTTCTTATTTCCTTTACTTTTTTTTTGCCCCAATTCTATGCATAAATTCTATTGTTATCCCTGTTTTGCAGGTGATAAAACTGAGGGAAAGTTTCATAGAGCTATCGGAGGAAAAGTCAGGCTTCGTACTTAGGCAGTTGGCTTTACAGACCCTCTTAATTACTACACTGTATCAACTGTGTATGTAACATCCCATTATTATATGCAGGTATTAGAGGGTCCACAAACAGATGCTCATTTGTGTTGATGTAGTAGTATTATAGATTTCTAAACAGCAAGTTTGCTATTTCACAGTCTCAAGATTACAGCCAGTGAAAATATATTATCAAACTAATTCCATATGATGTTCATTTATAAGTACTTATTACCCATCTGCATGTGCTTAGCATTGTGCAACAATTCACTTAAATTATCTCATTTAATACTTGCAGTTGCATTTGAGGTAAGTATGGTTATCCCCACTTTATAGATCAGAAAACTAAGGTTCTCAGAGACTAAATAACAAATCTCATCTTATTCATGAAGTGTCAGAAGTACATTCCAACCTGTGTCTCTCTCCCTCAGAGGCTGCATCTCTTAGCTTCTACACTGGGCTGGGTTTACAATTAAACACAATAGACATTGCTAAAACATCTTCTAAAGCTGGGAAGAAAATTTGTAAGAATCAGCCTATTTATTGGCAGTGCAAAGCAGCATCTTATAAGTGGAGACATGAGTGACTACCCCATTTTTTGTTTGAGAAAATTATCATTGTATTTATTGTGCTCTTTCTCTCTGTTTCAGTTCTTACTCTTAGATCCTCTCCTCTGAACTCAAGACTCACATAAACCCCTGCCTTCCTCCTATTACTCCTGGAATGTCCAAGAGGTATCAATAGATATCTCATATTTACATTTCCAAAACTTGACACCTGATGATACATTTAAAACTGCTCCTCCCTCATTCTTCCCACTTCCAATAATGGCAATTTTCTCTTTTCAGGTACCTGGGCCAAAATCATCGGGGTCACTGACTCTGTTTTCACTCATACCCAATATCCAAATTGTTGGCAAATCTCACTGGATCTAGGAGCGTAATATATAAAAAATCCAACCACTTCTCATCACCTCCAAAAGCTAGCTGCTCCAATTTACCATCTTCTGTCACCCAGATTATTGCCATAACCTCCTTACCGTTCTCCCTGTTTCTGCCCTTATGGCCCTATAGTCTATTCTCATCTGTGTGACTAAGTAACCTTATTAAAATGTAAATCAGGTTAAGTCAATCTAATGTTGTGTTGTCCAGTATAAAAGCCACATTTGGCTATTGAAATTGATATGTAAATGAATTGCAATGAAGTAAAGCTTAAAATTCATTTTCTTGTTCATACTAGCCACAGTTCAAATGTTCCTTAGCCACAGATGGTTAGTGGCTACCATATTGGACAATGCAGATATAGAATATGTTCATCGATCCAGAAAGTTATTTCAGACAACTCTACAATGGCTTCCCATCTCATCCCACATGATACGGCACCCTATCTACTTCCCCACCACTCATCCATTCTTATCTTCTTCTATTCTCCCCTTTGCTCACTGAATTCCAATCTCACTGGTTTCCTGGCTAGTTCTTTTTTTTTTTTTTTTTTTATTCTTATGTTAATCCCCATACATTACATCATTAGTTCTAGATGAAGTGTTCCATGATTCATTGTTCGTGCACAACACCCAGTGCTCCATGCAGAACGTGCCCTCCTCAATACCCACCACCAGGCCAACCCATCCTCCCACCCCCCTCCCCTCTAGAACCCTCAGTTTGTTTTTCAGAGTCCATCTTCTCTCATGGTTCGTCCACCCCTCCGATTTCCCCCGCTTCATTCCTCCCCTCCCGCTACCTTCTTCTTCTTCTTTTTTCTTCTTAACATATCTTGCATTATTTGTCTCAGAGGTACAGATCTGAGATTCAACATGACAAGCATGCTCCTGCCTCAGGGCCTTTGTAGTTGCTCTTTTCTGTACCTAAGGTAATCTTCCCTCTGATACCTACATGGCTTGTTCTCATATCTCTGCTCAAATGTCACATTATTACAGAGACTTTCTGTGACCACTCTGTATAAACAGCAACCCATCCAACTCTTTAACCCTCCTTACTCCTTGTTCTGATTTGTTTTTCATTAGCACTTAGCACCATCTGATATGTGATTTATTTACTTGTGTATTTAACTTTCTTTCTCCCTGCTGTGCACCTCTTAAATTAAGCTACCCAAAGGCAAGAATATTTCTTTATTGCTGCTTTATTCTAAGCATGTAGTATACTTCCTGGCAGAGAAGGGAAATGAGAAGAAGAATAAGTAAAAGCATGAACTTTGTTTTATCACACAGGAATCAGTGGCTGGGACAAGCTGTGGAAAAAGTACGGATCCCGCTTACCTCAGGATGACCTCTGTCAGTATGTCACATCGTCTGACCTCACTCAGATGCTGGATAAATTGGGGATTAAGTATGAGTGTTACGACCTTCTGTCCACCATGGACATATCTGATTGTTTTATTGATGGCAATGAAAATGGAGAACTGCTTTGTGATTTTTTGACAGAAACCTGCAACTTTAATACAACAGCACCACCTGATCTCAAAGCAGAAATTATGAAAGATCTGCAAGAGTCTGAATTCAGTGTAAAGAAAGAGGGAAAGGTTCTTTTTAATAATAGTCTGAGTTTCATAGTGGTTGAGGCATAAATATCAACATGTAAGTGTATTAAAAAATTATATTTTGAATAATGTTGATCATTTATTTCTGTATTAAAATTATAAACACATCTCAATATAAATAGATCATTGTCTCATATATAAAATCTAAAAAATTCCAAGACATTCTCAGATTTCCATGCGAATCATAGAGGATACTGTTAGTCTTATCCCATTCCTTCCCCACATCAAGAGGCCACATTCAGAATAAATACCACATAAGCTAGAAAAATGAGACTACTAAGTTTCACTGGCTTATTGACAAGAAAATCTTTTCCATTTGTTGATTGTACTGGAATTTCCCAAAATATTAATAAAACATGTGCTATGGATTCTTTAAATACTACAAAAGTATATACTTACTTATATGAAAAAGTATATGTTTATTGATTTTTTTCCCTTTTGTGAAGAATTATTTGTCTGTGCACATTCTTTTAGTAGTTTCTATCTTGTTTTAATTGATTACTAAAAATAAGCACCTTAGGATATTACAAAATTATTTGTTATGTGTTCCATTTGTTTCCACTTTGTTTTCTCTTTTATCTTTATTGTTTATCTTTTATCTTTGATTTTATAGTATTTTGCTTGTTTTTTGATATAGTGAAGTTTTTTTCTATTTTATTCAGTCAAATTTTAGGGTTTTTTTCTTTCTTTCTTAATTTCTGGGTTTCTGACACATTTTTAAAGGCCTTCTTAAAACAAGGTTTTAGAATATTTACATGTTTTATTATAAAAAATATAGTTTCACTTAAAAAAATAAATCTTTGATATGTTTGAAATTTACATAAGTGTAGGAATCTGGGAAGATGGCAGAGTAGAAGGACCCTAAGCTCACCTAGTCCCATGGTAACACTCAAATCAGCATAAATAACAGAAAACCACCAAAAGACAGGCAGAAGAAACTCCACAACTAAAGGTAAAGAAGAGGCCACATGGAAGAGGATAGGAAAGATGAAGATGAGGTGGTGAGCTAAAAGGGTCCTGGCTGTCTGCAGTTGGGAGGAGCCAGGGGCATGGAGAAGGGTGAGAAATAGACGGTCACACCAGTGAGCCTGCATGGGGAAGAAGAATCCCCATAACATTTGGCTTTGAAAGCAAGAGGGGCTGAATTTCATGAGTTCTTACAACCAGCATGACTTAAAGACTGGAATTTTAAAAATTAGTAGGTTCTGCTCTGGGAGAGCCCAGTGTGTTACAGGAAACTGAGTCCCTGTCCTTAAAGGAGACAGCACAACAAATAGCCCATGGAGATACAGCATAGAAGCAGCAGTTTGAAAAATGCCTGGGGCATATGGGAGGGAGAATTATTTACTAATCTCAGAACATGTCCCAGAGAAACATATTTCCCTGACAGACTCCTCCAGAAACAAAGGACCTGCCATTTCCATCTCCCACCCATCAGCATAAATGCTTCACCACCTTCAGAAACCAGCAGAGCCCACACTCCTTACCTAACTTGCTTACACTAAGCCCCTCACATCAGCAGATTTGCCCTTCCCAGTCACTTGACTGCACTGCAGTCTCCTCCCTTAGAAGACTGGCATAAATCTTGCCAACACTGAGTCTCCTGTGTGTTTTGTGGGGCCTTGTTCCAAGCAGCAAGTCACCTCCACACACACCTTGTTAAAACTGCACTCCCTACCCATGTGGGCTTTGCAGAGCATCACTGGCCAGGCCTGGTCTTCACAGCAACTGCATGTACCCTATGGAAGAGAACCAGCACCACCTTGTTAAAAGTGGTGCCCCACCCACTACTTTCAAGAGTAGGAGACATAGTTGACTTTCCCAACACACAGAAACAGACATAGAGGGTTAGACAAAATGAGGAGACAGAGGAATATGTTCCAAATGAAAGAACTGGACAAAACCACAGCAAGAGACCTACATGAAATGAATATAAGTAATACGCCTGTCAGAGAATTTAAAGTAATGATCATAAAGATAGTCACTGGACTTGGGAATTGAGTGGATGCATCAGTGAGATCCTTAACAAAGACATAAAAAAGAACCAATCATAGATGAAGAACACAATAAATGAAATTAAAAATACACTAGATGGAATAAATAGTAGGCTAGGGGAAAGAGAAGAAAAAATTATCAACATGGAAGACAGTAATGGAAAGCAATCAAGCTGAGGAGGTAAAAGAAAACAAATATACAAAATGAGAATAGACTTAGGGAACTCAGTGACTCCATCAAGCACAGTAACATTTGCATTATAGGGATCTCTAAGAAAAGAGAGAAAAGGGGGCTGAATATCTATTTGAGGGATTAATAGCTGAAACTTCCTGAATCTGGGGAAGGAAACAAACCCAGATCTAGGAGGCACAGAGATTCCCCCAACAAAATCAACCCAAGAAAGTCCACACAAAGACACATAATAATTAAAATGGCAAAAAGAAGTGATAAAGAAAAAAAAAATTAAAGCAGCAAGAGAAAAGAAGAAAATTACTTACGAGGAAAACTCCATAAGGCTATCAGTGGATTTTTTAGCAGAAATTTTGCAGGCCAGAAGAGAGTGGCATATATGCAAAGTGCTGAATGGAAAAATGTGCAGCCAAGAATATTCTATCCAGAAATGCTAGCATTCAGAATAGAAGTAGGGATAAAGAATTTCTCAGACAAAAACTAAAGGACTTCATGACCACCAAAACATCCCTACAAGAAATGTTAAAAGGGACTGCTGCAGATGACATGATTATATATGTATATAATATATAATATGATAATATGTATATATCCTAAAAATCCCACCAAAAAAACTACTGTAACGGATAAATTAATTCAGTAAAGTTGCAGGATACAAAAATCAATGTACAAAAATCTGTTGCATTTCTATACACTAATAATTAAGCAGAAGGAGAAATTAATTCAATTTACAATTACACCAAAACCAATAAAATACCTAGGAATAAACCTAACCAAAGAGGTGAAATACTTGTACTCTGAAACCTATAAAACATTTGATGAAAGAAATTGAAGATGACACAAAGAAATGGAAAGACATTCCATGTGCATGAACTGGAAGAACAAATATTGTTAAAATGTCCATAGTACCCAAAACAATCTATACATTTAGTGCAATCCCTATCAAAATACCAACAGCATTTTTCAAACAATTAGAACAAACAATTCTAAAACTTGTATGGAACCAGACAAGACCCTAAATAGCCAAAGCAATCTTGAAAAAGAAAAACTAAACTGGAAGCATCACAATTCTGGACTTCAAGTTATATTACAAAACACAGTGATCAAAACAGCATGGTATGAAACAGACACATAGATCAATGGAACAGAATAGAAAACCCAGAAATAAACCCATAAGTATATGGTCAATTAATCTTCAACAAAGGAGACAAGAATATGCAATGGGAAAAAGACAGTTTGTTCAAAAAATGGTGTCGGGAAAGCTGGACAGCAACATACAAAAGAATGAAACTGGACCACTTTCTTACACCATACACAAAAATAAACTCAAAATGGATTAAGAATCTAAATGTGAGACCTGAAACCATAAATATCCTAAAACAGAGCACAAGCAGTAACTTCTCTGACATCAGCTATTGCAACATTTTTCTAGATATGTCTCCTGAGGACAAGGAAAATCAAAGTAAAAATAAACTATTGAGACTACATTAAAATAAAAAGCTTCTGAACAACAAAACTGATTGGAAACAACCAACAAGATTAAAAGTCATCCTACTGAATGGGAGAAGATATTTGCAAATGACGTATCTGATAAAGGGTTAGTATCCAAAATATGTAAAGAAATTATACAACTCTACACCAAAAAAAAAAAATTCAATTAAAAAATAAGAAGATATGAACAGATATTTCTCCAAAGAAGACATAGAGATGGCCAACAGACACATGAAAAGATGCTCAACACTTCATCATGAGGGAAATGCAAATCAAAACTACAAAGAGATATTCTTCACACCTATCACAATGGCTAAAAGAAACAGGGGAGCCTGGGTGGCTCAGTTGGTTAAGCGACTGCCTTCGGCTCAGGTCATGATCCTGGAGTCCCGGGATCGAGTCCTGCATCGGGCTCCCTACTCAGCGGGGAGTCTGCTTCTCCCTCTGACCCTCCCCCCTCTCATGTGCTCTCTCTCTCTCATTCTCTCTCTCAAATAAATTAAATCTTTAAAAAAAAAAAAAGAAACAAGTTTTGGCAAGGATGTAGAGAAAAAGGAACTGTAGTACACTGTTGGGAATGCAAACTGGTGTACCCACTGTGGAAGACAGTATGGTGTTTCCTCAAAAAGTTTAAAACAGAACTACCCTACAATATAGTAATTGCACTATAGGGTATTTATCCTCAAAATACAAAAACACTAATTCAAAGGGATACATGCACCCCTATGTTTATTGCAGCATTATTTACAATAGTCAAGATATGGAAGCATCCCAAGTGTCCATCAATTGATGAATGGATAAAGAAGAGGTGATTTTATATATATATATATATAATGGGATATTATTTAGCCATAAAAAAGAATGAAATCTTACCACTTGCAACAACATGGATGGAGCTAGAGAGTATAATGCTAAGTGAAATAAGTCAGAGAAAGACAAATAGCATATGATTTCACTCACATGTGGAATTTAAGAAACAAAGCAAAGGAACAAAGAAAAAAGACCGAGAGAAAGAAAAACCAAGGAAACAGACTCTTAACTATAGAGAACAAATTGATGGTTACCAGAGGGTGAGGGGTTGGGTGAAATAGGTGATGGGGATTAAGAGTACACTTATTATTATGAGCACTGAGTAATGTATAGAGTTACTGAATCACTATACTGTACACCTGAACCTAATATAACACTGTATGTTAACTATATTGGAATTAAAATTTAAAAACTTAAAAAAAAAAAGAAATTTACATAAGTGGAAGGAGTTAAAATGAGAACAAAATGTTTACCCTCAAAAAGAGAGGTGGCTATATCAACACAATTTCCTTGGTGGGGGGCAGATTTCCACTGACTTAAAATGCACTTTGTATCATTTACCAAATTTCCAGAAACCCTGA